TCCTGTGTACAAAAACAGCCTTTTGCTGCTTATTCCACCTATACCAGCTGCTGATGTTTTGTTTACTTTCGCCTTATGCAGATTCTACCGAAAGCAAGGATTTTGTGTTACGTCTAGTATGTAAACAAGAAGACTCGTACAAGTAAATCCCATTCTAGAAGTTTAGAGTGCATCTAAATTCCTGAAAGGCAAAAGCAGTAGATTTGTTTTTGTTTTGGGGTATTTTTTGGGGGGTGTAAATTCACAAGGCAGGTCTTTTCACATCAAGTCTGGTATAGAGCTCATACAGCAACCCATCGTTCAAGGTTCAAAGTTCAAGGTTCTTTATTTGTCACATGCATAGTTATACAAGTATAACACACAGTGAAATGTAGCCTGACACGCTCCTCGACATGTGCAAAACAGGATAGACAATATAAACATATTTAAAATTAAAGGAATTGAAATGTACATTGTGCCTTGGTTTAGTGTCTGGAAGAGTCCTGACTCAGTCAATTATAGATGATGTGAGAGGGCGGGTGTGTGTGTTTAGGGCACGGATGGCTTGGGAATAGAAGCTCCTCTTGAGTCTCTCTGTCCTTGCCCGGAAGATGCGGAACCTTCTACCAGATTGCAGAAGTTGGAACAGTTTGTTGCCAGGATGGGACGGGTCCTTCAGTATCTGCGCTGCTCTAGTCCGGCATCTCCTGGTGTAGGTGTCCTGAAGCGGGGGGAGAGCAATCCTGCAGCAGCGTTCTGCTGTACGGATCACTCTCTGGAGAGCTTTTTGGTCCTTCACACAGCTGTTCCCAAACCACGATGTCATGTTCTGTGTGAGGATGCTCTCCACAGCGCCTGTATAGAAAATCCTGAGGATCTTTGGAGAGACCCTGAACTTCCTCAGTTGTCGTAGGTGATACAGGCGCTGCCTAGCCTTTTTGGTCTGGACCTGAATGTGGGCAGCCCATGTCAGGTCTGAGGAGATGTGGACACCAAGATACTTGAAGGTACGTTAAAGCTAAGCATGCCTTTTATACTCTAGTTGTTTTTATTAAAGTACTGAATCTGGTAAAAATTGACTACTTATGCTTTTACTATTGTCTGCCATATACAGTTATGCTCAGACGTTTACATACACTCATCACAAGCTTTGGGAATTGGGAGAACAATTTGAGTGTATTCCACACAGGCCAGACGTGTACATATACAGACTTATTAATAAGTGTTGCTGAAGGTTCTACATTGTCTTAACTTGACAAGATCACTTCACCTCGAATCAGCTACATGGTTGAAACTTGAACCCAACTGGGTGTTCCAGTAGCACAATGATACCAAACACACATTCCGAACTGGTTTGGAAACGGATAAAGCAGGCTAGCATTAAGCTGCTGGGATTGCCTTCCCAACAGTCTGACCTCAGCCCTGTTGACATTATGTAGATGTGCTTAAAAGCCAGATCTTTATCAGAAAACCAAACACTTTAAATACACTCAGCCAATTCTGCCCAGAAGAGTGCTCAAGTATGCAACCAGAATTATGCCAGAAGCTTATTGATGGCAACCAAAAGTCTTCTGTCAAGGTGCAACCTGCTAAGGGACATTTAACCAAATATCGGTGTGTGTGTGTGTGTGTGTGTGTGTGTGTGTGTGTGTGTTTACCTTTGACCCTGAGTGGATTAGGGAATATCGAGAATAAATTCAAATTTGTGCACCCAATTCTTCTTTTTAAAGGTCATTAAATATGTAATTAAGGATGTGGTATCCTATCCTGAAAAAAAATAACAATTTAAACAGTTTAAAGAAATCATTAAAAGCCTTTTACCATGACATTCATGCCATGATTCCCATGAGTGTATGAAAACTACTGACCATAACTGTATACTGTTAAAGTGGTGGATGCTTCAGATAATAAGTTTCAGATAATAAGATCAGTGTATGCACAAGTCATTTCTGTAAAAAGAAAGAAAAAAAAAAGAAGAAGCTTAGGCTGCTCAAAACTCAGTTTCTGAAACTCAGGGTTTTTTGTACTCTTGGCTCTTTGTGTGATATCAATGAGAGGGGAAGTAAAGAAGGTGGCCTTAAACAGGAAAAAGGATAAAAAAGGATGAGCAGAGCTGCACGTAGGCACAGTAAAACATAAATAAGGATTAAACGCCCAGAATAAGAATTTTAAGTTTACGTTTAATTTTATGATTGTTATTATTATTAGGGATTTTTTAAAAACCATTTTAAGTCCTCTTTAGCCTTTAAGATAGTTTTAAAAAACCCATTCCTGTGGCTGAAATGAGTCACCACAACAAAGAGAATTATTTTTCTTTTATTTCAGCAGCAACTTATTTTACTAATTTTACAAGGAGCATAGTGATAAATGAGCAAAGGTAGCTTTCTAATGGGAAATCCAGAACACCATATTGAATGGCCATGAAGTCACATGAAGACTAACATCCACAGGTTGTCTCTATGTTGTATTTGTGAATTCCCATCAGGTTTTTGCCCCCTGTGTATTAACATGGTTAGACAGGCTTTAAAGGCTGCTCCCTCTCAATACAGAGAAGTCATGTAATGTAATTACACAGCAGACAGAGAGGAAATGCATCCTCCCCTGATGTAAACAGCTCTGACTCATGAACTTGTCCCGCAGCTCTAATTACATCAGTAATTTGATTTCTTTTGCACCTTTGGCCAAACCTCCAGACTGTAAATATGAATATGTTTCTTTGGTCTATACCCGAAATGGATCGTGAGGAGATTTCGACAGATACTGCCTTCTCTCATCTTTGCTTTCATGTAACAACAGTTTATCCTCCAAGTGGCTGCTGCTCAATTACACCTCACATTTATCTGTAGCTAATAAACCCAGCTCATTAGTACTTAATTAGTTTTGGAGCTGACGAATGATGTTAAGATAAGATTTAAGCTGCTCAATTGCAAAAACATGATAGCAATGTTTTGAAAGGGAAAAAAAGCAACTGATAGAGTGATGCACAGCCAATACACCGAGCAGAGGAACAGTGTTAGGGGTTCATCGGCTCTTTATATGATGGTCAACAACTTACTTGAAATTTAAAATAAAAATATCCAGTGGAAATAAATGAATAAGTAACATTTATTTCAGCAATAACAAATCATATAAATTTCCCCGTTCATTCCCAGATAAGGACCAATCACATAATATATTAATATCCCAGCTTTAACCTGAGAACAACCAAACCAGTGCAAACAAATGCCACTGCACTGCATTCAGTCACACCCTATTTGAAGCACTGGCACTGACTACACTTACAAATTGTGAATAAGTTCGAAAACTTTGGAAAAAATGGAGCATCTGATGTCTGATGCTGTTTTTTAAACTGCTGTGTTTTCCTATAGGATTTGGGCTGCTGACCTGTGTTCAAGCTGTGTGAGTTAATAATTACCTCTGATGTGGACAACATCGTTTCATGGTTGGCTTGTTGGTGCCGTGCACGGTTTGTTCTGTACAGAATAAAGAATAATAGTGGCGTAAACACGGAGAGAGATGACTTTCTCTCCCGCACAGTATCTGTGCCGTAAAGTTTTGCATCTGAGTGAGCAGAGGACTTCAAGGATCCACTGTAGTAAAAGGCACCGTAATTGGCGATGCCAGTGAGGCAGACACAGCGTCTCCTCTAATGGGTTTTGCTTTTCAACACAAAGCCTTGACGGCGTTCACTTTGCAACTTTCAAAGTGTTATATACTCTGCCTCTGTGGTGCTGTATCCTTGAACTTGTGAAAATCCCTTTGAGTATTTCACAGATAATGTGCATGGGGGAAATTAAGAGAATATTTTAATGAGATTCAAGACGTATGCAGACATGTCTGGAGGCAGTTTTAAATAAGAGGCAATGACAATTACAGTATTTTCCCCGTGTGGGGAGGCAAATGTTGGTGAGAATTCCCTGGCCCCCTTAAGATGATGACGGGGAGGATATTGGAGCGTTTCCCACTGGGGAATCACGCCTCAGTTTTCTGTCTTTTTCTAACACTATATAAGCAAATCAAAGAAACTCTTCGCATATAACTAAAGAGGGGATGCTGGCTAAGTTGGAAAATAGTGTACTGCGGTGAGGGACTTGCGCTTTTCAAGCTTAAAGGTGATTCTGTAGCTCTTTAAGCTTTTTACGATCATAATTGGAGGTTTTTCCCTCAGGTGATTTCACATATACGTTATAAACCCGTTTTCATCTTATGCCACAACCTAATTTTAGCTAATCTCGGTCAACCGGCTCCTGCATGGCAGACCACAAACTGTCTCTTTGCCAAAACCGGGCTTATCCGCGTAAAAACTACGTCACTTACTCTTTGTGTGATTCCACGGCTGCAGATGGATACCATTGCTAAGCCTCGGATAATGCATGTGTGTAATGTGCAGTGATAGAAGAGAGCAGTCTGAGATAAAAGTGTGCCTTTTAACGTCACATGACCTCATCCGGCAAAGGTCTCAGTTGATCCCACGTGCTGCTGCTATATGGTTATGAGCGCAAACCTGCCTGCAGGAAAAACTGTCATGCTTCAGAACATGCAACTGTCTTTAAGCAATTAGTTTCCAGAACAGCTGGAATTCCCTGAAAGGTGAAAGCACTTATATTTGACTAATATGTGAATCAGACTTTAGTTTTTTTTTAAATTTATTTAAACGTAATCTTTTATTTTTTTCAGCCCGATTAATGGAAAAAATGTACGTATTTCAGTGTTGAGCTTTTCTTGTACTTGGCGCCTTTTTAAAGCAAACAGCGAGAAAACAGTTAAATGAAAAAGCCACTCCCCGCTGTTAGATAATAATAAAAAGGATCATCGTTTGGCCTTTAAAATATACAGTCTGGCTTTTTTTATATTAAAAGAAAAACTTAAAAAAAGAAGCTTGTCCAGATGTTGTCCATCTGTGATTTTGAGGCTTCAGGGGGGGTAAAGCACTATTGTATGCATTTGTATGACAGTTTTCTGGAATGGTTCACTGCCTTTAGGCCACCATACATCAGCAGCGGCGCTGCAGTGCGCGCAATGGGCGTGCGCACGCCTCCGGGTGCTGCTGCGCGCCCCCGCCTGTGTGTGTGTTTGTATGTCGGTGAACTGGTGGGAGAGAGAGAGGAGGGGACCGGTGGCTGAGAGAGGCATCGGAGGCAAGTGCAAGAGGTTCGGCGCTCTGAGCGGGGACTCCACGTGAATAACCGCAGCTCACGGCTTCGCTCTGTCGCGGGAGGCTGAAGACACCCGCGGTGTTTTGTGTTTCTCACCGCCCAGGGAGGAGGTAAGGTGAGCTAAATTAGACCATTCATAATAAGCACGTGTCGTGTGGCTTACAGTTCACTGACAGGAGTTTTGTGGCACGTTGGAAGGATGCCGATAGAAAAACTGCCCCTCTTTTAGCTCCTTCTCGGGGGGTGGGAGTGTGCAGGAGTGGTTTATTTTAAATAACACGCCGCGCTGTTCTGGGTGATATTTTACGTGTTAGGTGATCGTCGGAGAGAGCGAAAAGGTGTGGGACATATTCCGGTGAACGACTGTCAAATCAAAGGGTTGACACGTACCGTGACGCGTTAAAGATGCTGAGGGGAAAAACACAAAAAACAAATCATTGGCACTTATTTGCGAATATTGTCTTTGGACTTGATCTTTTTTGCTTCGATCATCACATATCACATGGTGTAGATACAGTGGATATTCCCACAGATAGATAGACAGCTCTACTGTACTTGACAGCTGCTTTTTATTGTCCTGTGTTGATGAAATCGCTGTCTGGATACACGCACAATCCCTCATAAGCTGATTTGCTTCCCACATGTTTGATTCCCCTCATATTTATGTCACAACTCTGTGTTGTTTTGACTGACCAGTCACTTTGCTGAGTCTAATTTCCCTTCATGGGACTGAATCTGATTATGATAGGGCCCCCCCTGAGATTTCACAGAATTCATCTCACACCATTTTTCCACCAGTCAAAACAATTCATTTGCTGGAAAAAACCCCAAACATATTTTCACACAATCCTGTCTTCCCACTCCACCTCCTCCTCCCCCGTCTGTCTGCCCCTTGGTCAAAGCTTCAGTAAAGGGGGAACTCACCATCATGCAACAACACCCCTCCTCCTCCTCCTCCTCATCCCCTCCTCTGCTCATCCCCAGACACTCTCACTCATACATACACCCAGACACACATGCCTTGACTGCACACTTTCGCTGCCTGCTCAGTTGGCCAAATTAATGCAATGCTAATGACCCCTGTGTTATTGTCTGAAGCTCTTGCCTTGCGCTTACTGCTCTGAAAAGCCTGACACACTTTCTAGTAATGTTTATTCACTCCAAGCAGACTATAGTTAATCTGGTTAAGACGATAACAATATCCCTCTATCCTTGCCTTATGTCTAGTTTACATTAATTTATAAAACTGGCGGCAAAAATGTACGTCCCAGACAGTTTGTGTGCTTTGTGGTAGTCTCTTGATCAGGTTGTAGTTTGAGCTCAGAGAGGCTTTAATCCACAGCTACTGGAGTGCTGCTAACATAACATTTCAGCCTCATTTGACAAATGTGGAGAAATCGGGACAAGATAGCGACCTACATTGTGCTGCCTTCTTTACTTTCAAACTCATCACAAATGACTCTAGACGGGGAGATTTGCATAACTAAGGGATTATCATGACACACGTTGGCCAGAGTTATTGTGAGAGCACCAGTCAGTCACACTGCACGCTGACCTAAAACCAGCGACGGGCAACTTTGCTCCGGGGGCTATGGGAAAAGCTTGGGTGTTGGAGGGAAAATGCCACCAATTTCTCTCTGTGGGCTGCAGAAAAACGCAGGCTATTCTGTGAGAAGTGATCAACGCGCCTTCTCTAAGCAGCCGTCCGTGGACATTCACAGGCCAGAACAAAGTGCCTCATAGAAAGGAAGATTTGTTCTGTGTCACTTGTTGTAATGATGACATAATTTCTTTCAGGAACTGGTCTGAACCTGAGAGACTGCCATTTCATCAAGGGTACATTTGAGTCATGTCAGAGTAATGCTTGTTTAGGGAAGCAGCACATATTCCGAGATGAAACAATAACACGATTCCGGCAAAGTGAAGCTGAAGTCAGGGTGGGAGATGGCTAGTCTCAGTAGACGTTTAGTAAGAGGGACCTGTCAGTGTAAAGATCGCTTCTGGTTAATCACAAGTGTCTCTTTTTTCTAAGTCTTGACAATCATTTATGTGACATTTCATAGTTTCTATGTTCTGAATTAACTAAGTGCTAAAATCTGGAAATGGGAATATGAAGGCATTACAACAATTAAGGCCAACCTAGGCATTAGAACCAGGAGTAAATGATTCAGTAATCCATCAGTGAGTTGATATTTGATACAAATCTGGCATGCTTAGCAACTTTAGATCTTACAACGTTAGCAACAGTTTTCTGGGTGCAGTTTCTCAAATGAAATATTTTATGCTATATGATGGTGAACAGAAGATATTTTAGACCTCGGTCTGAGCGCTGAAAACATAAAGGAACAAGAAATCATCTCAAGTTTCTTTGACATTTGTTTAAAAAAAAAAGAATTCACTGATTAATTGAGGAATACAATAATAAATTAATTGGCAATTCATCTATTTCAGTTTTTACCTAAAATCTGGTATCTGCACATGCTACACACACACACACACACACACACATTATGTATATATATATGTGTGTATATATATATATATATATATATATATATATATATATATATATATATATCCAGATCTCAGCGAATATCTTGATATTGATTCCAGTTCCTGTAGAAATTATGACTGATGCGCTGAAACCAACCATAAATACCCCCTGCAATAATTTCTTTTTCATGCAAAAGTGCACATGCACTAATCAATAATTTACCATCATAAGTCACTCCAGCTGATTGGCTGAATGATTGAGTGAGTTCTGGCAACACGTGTTCTCGTGTCCCGAGTGAAGAGGATCCAGCAGCCATTGTGAATAGAAACGCCGTGCTGCTCGGCTGTGATGAGGCTAAATTCCCTGGGGAATGATGGAGGCCCATGCCTACCCATTAGTGTCACTGCGGTCTGGGTGTTTCATCCCAGTGGAGCTATCACGCACAGCAGCGCAGCACACTGACATCATTTGGACCTCCTTGTCATAGGCATGTTCGTCTCATTTTGGGACTGATGAGTGCCTCATTATCACACCACAGAGGGAACGGTGCTCTGCCTGCTTCACAGCTGCCTGATCACTTTCACTGTTTGTAATTTGGACAAGCGTATGCAGAAGCAAAGAAAGGCATTCATACATGTTCATTACATGTGCCCATGTTTTACTTTCCTTCTCTCTCTGTCTCTCTCTGTGAGTCGGGCCTGCTTGGTTGCAAGCTGGTGGGTACAATTAGAGTTTCACAGTCAGTTAAGCAGCAGCTCTAATGGGAATTGACACATTCCTGTAAATCCCTCCACACAGCTGCAACTGTTGGTGTTTACACCGTAGACTTGTATTTTATTATCGGGAGTAAATGGCAACAGATGACTAAGAAAAATGGGTAAACAAAGTAAGTAAAAAGTACAAAGTGAACCTCGATTAGATAGATGTCTTGGTTTCGGCTTCTCCTTTTACTTCTTGCTGTTATGGATATTGACAAGAATTTATTAACACCAGTGCCACTGCTGAGTTTTCCTATAGGTCAGATTTGTTTTTATTGATCCCCATGTTGTTTACTGATTGGATTTACATGTGAGGAAAAAAAGTAAGCTTGCACAGGTTTGTATCATCAATTCAAATACCTGGACCTGACTCTAATTACTGTACAAAAACAGACTTGGATGTGACTTTGGTGTGCAAAAGCTTTCACGCATTTAACTCATAATGGATTGGTTCCGGGTTTTAACTGGAACCAGTAGTTGATTCCTTTCATTGCTTGTAACAGCACATTAAATAGCTGACACAAGGGTCTGATGATTTGATCGATTGGTGCACAGACAGAAAATTCATCATCAGCTGTTTGGACATGTTTCTAATAATTTTAATAAAAGTAAAATTATAAAAATGCTTTGATTCAAGCTTCGCACGTGTTAAGGTTTTCTCACACTAATATCTGAAACAGAGCAGTCTAAAGCCTGAGCTTTTGGCAAGTAGGGATTACTTGGCACATACTGGCCATCTGCCTTTGCAACAGTATATGACAGAAAACAATGAGCATCCTTTAAGCGTGTTTGTTTTTGAGTAAATTCAAGCTTTTCAAATGTGAGGAATTATTATTTAGTCATCTTTTGAAATAAACTAAATACCATTGGCTATGGTTTGGATAAAAAAAAAGCGAGCTGTATGTTAATAATTATGTTGGATTAAGCTCTGGAAACAACAAAAAAGAGGCATTATTGTTACTTTAAGTGATGGAAAAGCTGTTAGTCATAGCCCCGACTCGGAAGCCCTGCTGATCAGAGATGCTGTGCTCAGTTGATTTACTGTTAAATTCGGCTATAGATTTTGGACAGCAGGTAGTTGGACAGATGTTGGATGGATGGAGGTCAGTGAAGACCTCCTTGGATGGCCCCCTGTGACCAAATCATTACGTTGGAGCTTCACACCATGATGGTCATCAAGCCCAGTCACTCAAGGTTGCCAAGGGAACCCTAATATTACTCATGTCAGGTTATCAACCCCCTTTAGTAAGTACAAAGCATTTAAGGATGTTCTTTTCCATCCTAAGTAAGTGCCAGGGGGGTGACAGCAATAGACCCTTTTGAAATGGGACATTGAGATAATGGAGCGTAATGTTGCAGGTTTTATGCTCTCTCTCTGTCCCCTTTAGACCTCCTTGTTAACTAGGTGATCTGAACCACTCAACCTCGAATTTAGAGATCCAATGGGAACAAATGGAAATTCAACTCGATGTTTGCTCCAGGAATGCATTTTCTGAGATCTCATCAGATGCGCTGCTTCGTTGCTACTGGCTAGGGGAGGAGGAGGGAGGAAAAGGAAGAAGTGGGAGTGTTTTCAAGCTTTTGGGGTTCCAAGGGGGAGGGAGGAGGGGTGGATCATGTACCTCCATGGACGCTGAGAATGGGCAGGGGGGAACAAAGGGGGTCTGTTTTCTCTTTCTCTACTGGCAGGGAGGCTTTTATTGCCTCTTGCCTTGCAGTATGTGTGTGGGTGGGTGGGGGTGGTGATAATGCTGGGGAGGGGTGATGCAGGGGTTATCCTGAAGGAGATCCACAATAGAAACTGTGGTGTTGGAGCCTCTCTTTGAACAGCTGAAGAGGGCTGGAGAGGCAGTCCTTGCTGGA